TGGGGGAAAACCTCAGATACCCTTCCGTGAATTATTTCAGGCACGAATAGGCACCTGAGTAGAACCACCGACGTTCAATAAGCTAGCTGGATAGCTTCCTCACATGAAAGAATCCAAAGTCCCTGTCGGGATTCGAACCCACAGCGGTGAGGGGCAAGCGGTTTGAAGTCAACGACCTTAATCACTCGGCGTTTTGTCACATGAAATTTCTCCATTGCCCCTCATACATATATGCAAAGGGAATGAACTATAGATTGTAACGGTTGATTTTGATATTTGTTTTAAATAATTAGTATTATACGTATTTTTCTAAGTCATATGCAGTTATTTGGATATATTGAGAAATAATTAAATTATTCTCTGAAAATATTACAAATTTGCTATAAATCAGAAATGTTATTCATTTTAAAATATAATCGAGCGGGCTTAGTTGCTACTTATAATTAAACCATTATAAATGACATTTTGAACATTGTTTCAACAAAGTAGAAATATGCATTTATCATCCATGATGCCCAACCGGTTAGGGGTTAGTAGAAAAAAATGTTCGTCAATGCACATCGAATGAACAAGATCGAGCGTTGGCACAGCTCATAATGATACTTTTTTTGTAATGATTTGATTTAAGAAATTTATTCTTACATTGTCCGACATAAGTTATTCTTATTTTATTCTGTAAATTATTATCACAGAATGTATGTAGTAATCAATGTTTTGTATCTATCCACTGGTATTTGATTGAAATACTATTTTTTTACCTGCCTGCACCGAAAACAACCCGCCACCATCCGTGAAGTCTGACCGGGCAATAAAAATACAAAGACAAATAAAGAGAAAATGAACCATCAACAGAAGCGAGCAGCGATAAAATCAACACGTTATTGTTGTTGTTTTTTATTAAACAAAAAAGCATTGTTATTATGTCATTTTCCTGTAATTGTTTACGTGAAATAAATGCGGAAAACGAAATCAAACTAAAAGTACATCGCTTTTAAAGTACTTTTATTTATCTAATGAAATAATTAAGGTCATACAAAACGTGATTAAACAATCTTTTTTTTATCTGTTAACCTTCATGTATTTATAATAAAAAGTAACAACACTCATTTTTTATATCATGATAAATGATAAACAACCTTCAATAGCTTTTAAATATCGTTCGAGGTTCCACTTTAAATTTGGAAGTACGGTAAAAGGGCCGTCCTGTATGGTTTATAGTTACTAGTATCGTAGGCAAATGCCCTTCATCGCTTCAGTATGAGACATTTTTTGCGCAATTATAGACAAAGTGTGCACATGCGTGTTATTGAGATTTGATAATTTTTGGTAATATTAAAGAAGAATTAAATATTTTCTAATTGAACTTTTTTCTTTTAAGTTCTGGTAGTACATGTAGAACATTACGTACACATTGTAGCTTTTATAAGTTAGAGTAGTGAACGCTTCATACAAGTATCTAGAACAAGTCTTAAAAAGATAAATAAATAAATGAATAAATGAATGAATGAGTAATTAAATAAATAAATAAATAAACGAACGAACGAATCAATCATTCAATCAATCAATCAATCAAAAAACACACCAACCAATCAATCAATCAATCAATCAATCAATCAATCAATGATAATTAATGATGAAATTTAAAGTGGCATACTGATGCCAACTCTGTAATAGTTTTCATATTCTGTGCAGCCTGCGCGTCAATAATAAGATGCTAGATAAAATAAGTTAAAGATAATTGCAATGTTGTTCTTGTACTTGTTTTTCGAACAATCGCCACAATATTCTTTATGTAAAATATATCATTATTCAATTCAATTCAAAACTTTTGAATTGAATATCATTATACTAGTACCTGCTCTGTATACTCCTAAAAAATAACAAATTAATGCACACAAAATAGATCTGTACTTGTTTATCCTTATTTAAACTATAATGTTACATAGGCAATTGCTATGAATCAAGTCCAGATTGTTTGTCTTGTGCAATAAAAAGAAATGACAAATCTGATATTGAATAAAAATGAATATATTTTCCCACCATGTCTGTACATTCTAATATTTTATTCCTCATAATCTGTTATAGGACGATAATTTTCTCTTTAGTGTCAATTCAAGTATTTCTTTATCTGTCTGGGCAGTATCGACCTGCATTTATTTCTGATGTTTTTACTAAAGTCTGGATCTTGTTTAAGAACTTGTCATTGTCATAAGACGTTACCCTAACACATAACGAGACGAATGCCTGTTTTTATTTTCCCTCTGAATTGATTGGCTTGGTTTGATATCATTTTTATGCATTTGGTGTTTTTCTCCAGTAAGCATTGGTGATACATGATTAAATTACATTAACATTTATCTTGAATCAATTAAGCAATAAATGTATATGAATATTGCTGATATTTTATGAAACACATTTGCATGATTTTTCAAAACTGTCAGATATGAATGACCTAATGTGGGGATATAAACGCACTTATGTGGGGATAGGGGATATAAACGCGCTAATATGTATGGATATAAACGCACTAATGTAGGAATATAAACGCACTAATGTAGGAATATAAACGTACTTATGTAGGTATATAAACGCACTAATATGGGGATATGAACGCACTATTGTGGGGATATAAACACACTAATGTGGAAATATAAACGCAATGATGTGGTGATATAAACGCACTAATGAAGGGTATAAACACACTAATATGGGAATATAAACGCACTTATGTAGGGACATAAACGCATTGATGTGGTGATATAAACGCACTAATGAAGGGAAATAAACGCACTAATGTAGGAATATATACAAGGAATGGGGGCACAGATTTACCTTATTGCCCAAACCGATACGAATGCATCGACCAATAAACGATGTTACTCGATTACCTATAAACAATCGTTAATATGACTTTAATAAACGTCGTAAATAAAACTGCATATTTCCTTCATCGGTAAGTAGATTTGTTTAGAATATGCTCATACAATCCAAGTGAAAATGGTAAGTGAACAGGTAAAACTCAGATTAACTTGACACTTTGCCATACTTGAGTTCAATTTTATACTTTGCATTGAAAAAAAATAAATCAATAATCCATGTGACCAACGGAAATTTCTATAAATATCCGTCAGAAAATATTGGTATTGTTTAATACTTAAAAATAATTATGGATGTCTTTTTTACAATTTAGGTTATTTTTGTATTTCATGTATATCCTTAACATTTTTCATTATCGATTATTGATCAATCACCAATATAATGGTCAATCTTTTGAGAAAAAAAACAAAACAAACAAAAACAAAAAAACATGACTAAATTAAATTCAATTCAACATGACAGCGGAAAAAATCAGCATGATGGCAAATAAGACTGTTCCCAAGTTTATATAATGCTTTATTCGCGCAGCAGAAATCGGCAAGGAATCGGCGATTACCAACACGGAAATATTTAACGGGAACCGTTACATTCGTTACAATAAAGGTTCTTTCCAAGGCATTTATTCTTGTCTTTGAAATTACATTTGTAAAGCTTAGTTTAAAACCCACCTTTTTAACTAAAGCAATAATGCGAGCAAGTAACTATCGTCAGTCATTTTTAATATCAGACGAATATTTGTGTTTAACATTCACAATTCTTTCTGTGTTGATATATGTGAATTGTTTGATTATTTTCTTTCTTGTCCTTATTCATGGTTTTCTTTTTTTATAATCTTTGATTATCTACACTATATACATGTATTATTTACACCATGTACTAAAATCTTATATACAGTACGAGTACTATTGTGTTGTATTGTATAAAATCACCTTAATTGACCTTTCCAGTGGTTACAGTTTTATGTAAATTGGCTAACTTGTTATCCAATTGCTACACTGAGATAATACATAGTCACTGGTTGACCTGGTTTGCACAAAAGAACACATGGTTATGTTTGTGATACTGTTTGTGAGCAGTTGACCTAGCAATGAATGGAAAAGGTGTGGCTAAATGTTCCGCTAAGGTCCGATCCAACATACATTTTGATAGTATATTGAACTCTTGTATGTTCTTAATCCAGAAAATATTTAAATTAAAAAAAAAAGAAAATTACTAATTACCAGACTCGAATCCTCATCCATCATGATATTGTTCTTAAGGCTTCCTGGGCCCATGGTATGTAAATTCACCTAATTTATGCATATAGTGTTGTGTTATTTTGGACACAGTTAGTTGCTTAGGGATAGCGTTTCAAGTATTGTATTTCAGTAACATGTCAGATGTGATCAAAATCTGTATCGAAACTTCCATATTATGATTAACGATCATATCGATATCAATATCGATTTAATTTCAATTGAAAAATTTCACAAAGAATTTGTTCTTCTGTGACATTGTGCCAAAACAAATAATAGGCGATACCCAATGGTTGTGGAGGGGATTGGAGGGGCAACAATAAGAAAGATAACAAATAAATAATTAAACACGCCAATTTTTATTCAGGAGTTTATTCTTTGATGAACTTAATAAAAACACAGAAAGGTCACAACACCGTTTCCTTTCGACCAGATACGACGTGTGCTGAAAATAAAATGTAGATGTTTCAGTTCTTACGTAATTATAATCAAGATTTTGAAAATTGGTAAAAATTTTGATAACTGGAAATATGATTTCTGTATACAATTCTTTAGTTGCCAGCTAAAATAAAAGTGATAAGAAATCTAAAAACTGTTCACTTATTATAAGATAACGATAAATAAAGAAAGAAAGAAAGAAAGAAAGAAAATAAAAGAAAGAAAGAAAGTAAATAAAAGAAACATCAAAAAGAGAAAACCGTCATACTCAAAACGAAAGGGAACAACAACAAACACACACTCTACATAAAAAAGAAGACATATAGAAACAAAGAAATAAATTTTATTTATTATTTATTATGTGCTTATCAGACTTTTAATACAGACCTGTAGACACTTAGCGTCGGCAAGACGAATGCGACCTGTGGCAGCAGTAACGTCTCCAGCCTAACGACCCACAACGACCTACGTAACACTCACTCCGGCCACAAAATACTGCACACCTACACTGAGCTGAAAATAATATCAATTTTCAATCCATTTCGTTTATTACACTTATTTCATATATAACATGGTATAATGAGATTTTTATAAAGAGCATTTGTATGTACATGAATATAATTTAATAACAAGGCATTGTAACGACAAAAATGGGATGAAACAAACTTTAAGTCTTAAAATGTCGGATACTTAAAGTAATAATAATAATAATAATAATAATGCTATTTTATCATTATTATTATTATTGTTGTTATTATTA